ATGGCTTTCTTCTTTCCATGTTTTCATTTTTCTCCTAACCCAAATACTATTTCTGAATGCTTAAATGTTAGTTTATAGAATATGATGGCGTGAAGAATAATTGCCTAAATGACTTTGCTCTTGGAAAAAGGTATACAGTAATGCTTCATGGGGGGGGGGGGAACTGCCACCAAAATGGATACAGATAGTCCTTGACTTACAACCACAATTGAGCCCAAAATTTCTGTTGCTCAGCAAGACAGTTGCTAAGTGAATTTTGCTTTATTTTACGACCTTTCTTGCCACAGTTAAGTAAATCACTGCAGTTGTTAAGCTAGTAACACAGCTGTAAAGTGAACCTGGCTTCCCCATTAATTTTGCTTGTCAGAAGATCGCAGTAGGTGATCACATGATCCCAGAACACTGCAGCCATCATAAATATGAGCCAGTTGACAAGCATCTGAATTTTGATCACGTGACCAGGGGGATTCTACAACGGTCCTGTGAAAAACGACCGTAAGTCACTTTATGCAGTTGTAACTTTGAACGGTCACTAATTAAATGGAGGATTGGACCATAAGAAAGGCTGAGTGCCAAAGATTGAGGCCTTTGAACTATGGTGCTGGAGAAGACCCCTGCGAATCCCCTGGACTGCAAGATGATCAAACCGATCAGCCCTAGAGGAGATCAACCCCAACTGCTCTTTAGAAGGCCAGATCCTGAAGTTGAAACTCAAGTACTTTGGCCACCTAATGAGAAGGAAGGACTCACTGGAGAAGAGCCTAATGCTGGGAAAGATTGAGGACAATAGAAGAAGGGGACAACAGAGAATGAGGTGGCTGGATGGAGTCACTGAAGCAGTAGGCGTGAGCTTAAATGGACTCCAGAAGATGGTAGAGGACAGGAAGGCCTGGAGGAACGTTGTCCATGGGGTCACGATGGGTTGGACACGACTTCGCAACTAACAACAACAAAAGTCGAGGACTATCTGTATATTTTTATATTGCTCAGCTAGTATTATGTGCGCCTTTGAAAAATATAAATGAAAGATTTTTCAATCATTGGTTCTGATCCATGGGAAAAGAATTTTCATATATCCTGTAATTTTTCAGAGAAATTATTGTGTAACCCTTAAGGTGGATATATCTTGGGCTAAATAGAATTTACAGCTTATGGCTTTCTACTTGACACTAGGGTTATTTTATAAATATAACGTGTTGTATAATCTATTCTCATTCATTGCAAAACAGTGTCATTTTTCTGAACAAACAAAGTATATTGAGGTCAGAGGAATGCAAAACCAAGAATGGTCAGATATTAGTTGAGCTGGGTATGAATTTTAACGGAACTGAAGTAATATTGAAACTACTGTGGGAGTATAGTGGTGGGGTGAGATAGCTTGAGTGCAGAAACATTGTGCTTTTCCTCTGAATAACATGGGAGTTTGAAAGCATCAAATAAAAATATATTGTAGCATAAATGTTGCTGTGCTTGAATTCTCTGTTTTTCTCTTTCAATATGCATTTTTAGTAAAATGACAGAGAAGTATCTTAGGAATAATTGCACAGAGAGCAGTGTTCATGCTATAATAAGATAGGTTGTTATTTTGTGTTAGTTTGAAAACAGGACATTGAATTTATTACGTTTCATAAGATATTTTGCAACTGAACATTGTAGTATTGGTGCTATTATCGTTACCACCTAAAATGATACAAGCCTTGAAAGACATACTTAAGAAAGTGCAAAAGTGCCTATGAAGCCTCTTTCGCAGTGTTTCTCAACCTTGACAATTTTAAGGCATGTGGACTTCAACTCCCAGAATTCCACAGCCAGCAATGCTGGCTGTGGAATTCTGGGAGTTGAAGTCCACATGCCTTAAAATTGTCAAGGTTGAGAAACACTGCCTGGAGAGAGAGAAGTCATTAGAGCAGCATATTTTTTTACAGACTTACATAGCTGCTTCAGAAGCTGTGCCCAGCATTTTAGTCATGCATACACCCAATTTCAGAGATTCCTGGCAACAGCTTTCCAATCAGTGTTGTGAGGCTGATATGGCTGTTTTATAAAGAGGTGTTCGTGTGCATTACCATATATTTACAAAGCACCACTTTTATAGTTCGGGTGCACTACCATATATTTACAAAGCTTAATACCTTCAACTACTTAGCTGTTTTTCAGTTAACACCAGTCTTTGAGCTGAAATTTTCAGTGCATTTCCAGCTGGTACATTTCTGTTCAGATTGCACAAAAAAAACTTGTATTTTTTTTTTAATGGAAAAAGAAATAAAAGGACAGCTATTTGAAAATATTGAGGTGGAACAAAGTGCTAATAGTTAAGTGGTTTTAAGGAACTTCATATCAGGAATTGAATCTTTGCATGCTTTATAGGAAGTTGACTATGATTGTTCCAAGATAGGATCAGATCACAGTTTGCTGTGTTATGACTTCTGTAGTTGCAGGACTCCTCCTTAATCCATAGCATATTTTAAAAAGAAAACTTTGCTCTATGGCTGAATGCCAACATCATTTTGAAACATGAAATCCAGTTGTATTATGGATTCCGGATTCATTTTATATAAAGACAGCACTTACAAGGCAGTTTCAAATTAGATAGGCAAGATTTTGCTTTTTTAAAAAATAAAATAAAATACTGACATCCTCCCTGTTTGTTTTTAATGCATTAGTCAAGTTCTACAGTCTTTGATGTACAAATAGCTAAAAACTTAAATTATTACATTCCAGAAGGCTTAATTCCCATTCCTACCTGTTGTTTATAAGTTTTAAAAAATAAAATGCTGCTTACTGTTGCAGGGAACTTTTTTTGTTTTTGTTTTCTTAAACTGTAATTATAATGTTGCATTTTTGTTTTCAAGGCAAATAAATATGTAGCAGGGTGATTTTTTTTTTTTCAAGACAGTAATACACTGCCTTATTGTCAGGTAGTGCATAAGAACAATTATAAAGCAGTTCTTTTGTAATACATTATAAGGTATTTAGAAGTTCTTAAAAATATGTGCCGATCATATTAATTTATGTTATTTGGACCAGAATATATTAATATAGTTTAAAAACATTCTTCTTGGACTTCAGTAAGGCATTTGATAAAGTAGATCACAACCTACTACTCGATAAGATAGAAAAATGTGGGTTAGACAGCATCACCACCAGATGGATTCGTAGCTGGCTGACCAGCCGTACTCAGCGTGTGGTCCTCAATGGAACCGCATCTACATGGAGGGAAATGTGTAGTGGGGTGCTCCAGGGCTCTGTTCTTGGCCCAGTGCTCTTCAACATCTTCATCAACAATTTGGATGAGGGGATAGATGGGGAACTCATCAAATTTGCGGATGACACCAAGCTGGCAGGAATAGCCAACACCCCAGAAGACAGGCTTAAGACACAGGAGGACCTGGACAGACTTGAACACTGGGCGCTATCTAATAAAATGAAATTCAATGGTGAAAAAAGTAAGGTTCTACATTTAGGCAAGAAAAACCAAATGTACAGGTATAGTATAAGGGGTACCTTGCTCAATAGTAGTAACTGTGAGAGGGATCTCGGAGTCCTAGTGGACAATCACTTAAATATGAGCCAGCAGTGTGCTGCAGCTGCCAAAAAAGCCAACACAGTGCTGGGCTGCATTAACAGAGGGACAGAATCAAGATCATGTGAAGTATTAATACCACTTTACAATGCCTTGGTAAGGCCACGCTTGGAATACTGCATCCAGTTTTTGTCATCACGACGTAAAAAAATGTTGAGACTCTAGAACAGTGGTTCTCAACCTTTCTAATGCCGCGACCCCATAATACAGTTCCCCATGTTGTGGTGACCCCCAACCACTTATACATCACCGGGTACCAGGGGCGTGGCCAAAGAAAAGGGAAAAAATGGCAGACAGCCTTGTTTGGCGACCCCCATGAAATGGTCGTTCGACCCCAAATGGGGTCCCGACCCACAGGTTGAGAACCACTGCTTTAGAAAGAGTACAGAGAAGAGCAACAAAGATGATTAGTGGACTGGAGTCTAAAATATATAAGGAATGGTTGCTGGAATTGGGTTGTCTAATTTAATGAAGAGAAGGACGGGGGACATGGTAGCAGCGTTCCAATATCTCAGGGGCTGCCACAAAGAAGAGGGAGTCAAGCTATTCTCCAAAGCTCCTGAAGGCAGGACAGGAAGCAACGGATGGAAACTAATCAAGGAGAGAAGCAACTGAGAACTAAGGAGAAACTTCCTGACAGTTAGAACAATTAACCAGTGGAACAACCTGCTTCCAGTAGCGGTGAATGCTCCAACACTGGAAATTTTTAAGAAGAGACTGGACAGCCATTTTTCCGAAATGGTGTAGGGTTTCCTGCCTGAGCTGGGGGTTGGACTAGATGACCTCCAAGGTCCCTTCCAACATTATTATTATTATTATTATTTATATAAAACTATAATCACTTCATTCTTGATTCAGCCAAATAAGTAGGGAATATTGCTGCATCTAGTGTATTATCAATGAGATTATAGTCTGGAGTGGGGAACAGTTAAAAAATAAAATATCGAAGAGCCTTGTGGGTAATGACCATAGTCTGCTTCTGGAAATTACAGCGTGCTTTCCATTTCTGGTTGCCAACATATTTGAGTATAATATATATAGCAGTGGTGGCGAACCTATGGCACAGGTGAGGATGCTGCAAAGGTTGCAACTTTGAAAACAGTCATAAGTCACATTTTTCAGTGCCATTGTAACTTTAAACAGTCATTAAATGAACTATTGAAAGTCAAGGACTGCTGTAACAAGGACTGTATTAAGAGTAATTTCTCATCAAACGTATCAGTCAGAATCTTAAATTAGTTAAAAATCTTAAGACAGTTCTGAATCAAATAAATGAGTGACTACTTCCTGATTATTTTTGAAACTGAATGGTTCAACTGTGTGTGTATACGCACTCTTTCTCTCTCTTTTAAGTATGCCTTTATAATTACATACTTTTGAATTTCATGAAGATGGTAAATGTCTTCTTTTTTGACAGAAAACTGTAGCACAAAGGTGGATATTTGAGGCGTCAGAAGACTCTATATTAAAGGAAAGTAGGACATCCTTACATTCAGTAAGTAAAATGTTTTGTTTAAATATTCTGCTTAAATGTTTCATTGATAGATTTCCTAATATTAGTTGTAATTCCCAAATAAATATGTCAAAAATCTTTGTTTTTAAGTCTGAAATGTTAAAAAGAGAAAAAAAATCCTGCACCTTCTAACGATAGTATGAATATTTAATATGAAATATGGTTCATCTAAATAAGTAGAGTGCTATCTGGGAACAAGCAGTTTTTTTTTCTCATGAGAGTTTATGGATTTCATTATGAGAGGTAAGGTAAGGTAAGGCATATTGTTGAGAGCTCAAGAACTCATAAATATGTTGTTTACCTTGCTGCAATCTCAGTATGTCATGGACCAACTAGACCCCATATTTAATATTTTCTAGGAGAGTTCAAAATGCTCTACACTATCATGGAATGTTTTGAGACGGGCAGTTCTGATTATTCTGGAAGTATTAAAAAAATAAGGACATTGTGATTTTTTTGCAAGTAGAACTCAAAATAACCTGTTGTGAGGTCAACCCACTTCCCGACTTCATTCAGAATGGCCCATTCAAAGGTTTTGAATTTAGAGATAAGAAATCAGTAAAAATAATGAAGCTGTGATAGTTGGCCTGCCTTGATTCTTGAAAGGTCTCAGAAGATTTCCAGCTTGTAGGGTGCCCATTTATTCTGCTGTTGTGGAAGAAATTCTGGTGCTTGATGTGGTCACTTTTGACTGCTCTCATTATCTTGATAAGGGTTGTTTTCCTTCTTTGTTTATCAGAAACCTAGTAGCACTGAAGCAGATGGGTGATAACTCAAGTACAAGTATAAGCATGATGTAAATTCAGCAAACAAGTGATCCTGTTCTTTTGCAATGGTGGTGCAAAGAATGGCATTTGTTTTCTACAAATGCATATTTGCAGTGCTGTTAGTTTGAGGAGTTTGGAACTGTCTTAAAGGAATGGTTCACAGCCCTTGATCACCTGCTCTAATTCATTGTGCATAGCATTTTAAAGAGAAAATATTCACAACAATTGAAGGCTGCATGCCATTTTCTACAATTGGAATTTGAGAAGTTTGAGTTGTTGAGCAATCAGACTTCTGAGTAAGAAATGGCAAACTGAAGACTATGGCGGAATGAAAAACTGGCATAACAAGGAGAATGCATAAGATTGCCCTACTGTATTCCATACCGTAGGTCCTTAAGAAGAGAACATCAGATAGCAGCTTTCAGTAGGTTTAGAGCTCTGGGAGACAAAGGAATACCATCTTTTGCTCAAATCATGGTCAGCACTTTCAGAAGGACACTGGATTCGCATACTTCCTTTTCTAATCATTTTCAGAAATTGCTTCTTAACTGCTTTTCAGCTTGTAAAAGAATGACAAGTTGTAATAGCACTGGTTGAGTTTCCTTTAATCCTTAGCCAAAGAAGCTTTAAATACAAATTTAAGGACTTGATTTTTTTCTTTTTGGAATAAACAGCAAAAAGGTGATTAGAACTTTGATTTTGGAAAGTTATAAATGGACTAATGGATAGCTGTGGATATGACCTTGCAGGGGATTGCAAACCACTTAGAGGTGGGTCACAAAATGTTTAAAGAATGCGCTTCAGGCACGATTGCTGACCTTAGACTTTTTGAACATTACTGAACTTACTAGTCAAGTTCAACCTGCTGCTTCATTTTTTTTTAATAGAAGAGGCACAATTATTCTATAAGCCACCAATAATTTTGTATTTTAAATTAAATATTATAGAATACTATGTTGAAATTGAACTTTTAAAAATACCTGTTGGTCTATTTTACAAAATGTTTAAATTAATCAAATCCATTGTTATGTAAAATGTTGATAAAATTTTATAATTTGTTTTAATTCAAGTAAAGCACATGTCATTCATTGGGATTTTAGAAACAAATGGAAAAAAATGGAAGAAAATCGAATTTCTGCATAATATAACAAATGATAGCTATTGATCATATGGCAAACTACTATGAGATATGGCAATACATTGGTATCACAACCTAATAATTAAGTTTGGCTTTCCTTTTAAATACTGTCTTTCCTGACATATCTGGTGGCATACTATGTAATAGTATAATCATAATCTTTTGAATTTCTCTGGGAGAGTACCTGTTAGTAAACTTAATGAACTTAAGCTAATAATATAGTTTATTTTCTTTCCATGTATGCTTGCAAATCAAGTCCTGTTGGCTTCTGCCAAATGTTCATGAATAGAATAGAAAGCTGAGTAATTTTTGTAGCTGATGCACCATGTTATTCAATGCAGAACAGTATCACACTTTCCTTTACATCAAACACTTTGAAGTAGTAGCAGATAGAATCAGTTTTGTAATCTGCTGTCTGCTATTTTTTACATTTGAACCATAAAAAAATCACAGTATGTGGTTTACATTTGTACAAGAAGTTATAATTAAAGGTATGTTGGTTTATGAATATTGGCTTATTTTAAAGGTGGTTTCTCATGTCTGACTTTTGAATTTTGGCATGTTATGGTTTGATATTATGTCCCAACTCGCCCATGTAGGAGGAGAATAGAGCAGAAGCTTTAAAAGAAAACAATACTCAGGGTAAGCTATGTTTGCCTGTTTTTTTCTGTTGGCTTGCCATCTTTCCATGCCAACAGTCTTCTTTCCATAGCCAGTTTTTTCCTGATTACAAGACTGAGTGTTGTACTCTGAATTCCTGTGCCATGCCAGATATTTATGTTTACTTACTAGAAAAAGAATGCCAATGTCATTGAAGCACAGTTTTACAGAATACGTACATTATGGAATTTGCTACCATAGTATGTAGCATTAATTGCCACTTTGAATGGCATAAAATGCAGACTACACAATTCATGACGGGTAAGAGTACTGACAGTGATCAGTAATGATGTTGGCTATGTATTTCTATTTCTGAGGCAAATATATTTCTGAAACTAGTTTCTAGGAAGCATGAGCAGGAAAGAGTGTTATGTTCCTGTGCTCTATGTGGGCTTTCAGTAACCACTTGGTTGGTGATGTGGCAACAGAATGCTGAACTAGAAGATTTTGGGTGTGAAACACTGATGTTCATAGGGGAAACTAGAAATGTTAAGAACATACTGGCAAAACAAACCATCCAAAAAAGGAAGTCAGTCCAATAACAGTCTCCTCATAAAAAAGGAAGAAAAGCAAAAGTCTCCAGTCAACCAACCTTTATACACAAAATATTGTAAAAAATAGAAGTATAACGTACATCTCACAATAAATGGAAAACAGACCCACAGATTCATAAAGTTCTTCACTGCTACAAAATGTTCAGAAATTCACTGCAACAAGATATACTTTCTTTGTTCTTCACCAAGATAGACTCTGATTTGTTCAAAACACTATGACTAAAAATAGTTTAGCATTATATATGAATTTTGACATTAGCATATTCTTTTATTATCATTCTGCATATAGGATTAATTGAGTAGAATAATGCTGGTTGGCAATTTCTCAATCATATGACAGTTTCAGAAATAAATGGTAGTCAGAATGAAACTACAATAAAGTTGTATGTTAATGTCTTGAGTATCTGATGACTGGAAAATAGAAATGTGCCCATACAAATTTGAGAGTATTTTGAAGGCTAGAGAATTGAAGTGGAAGGAAAAAAACTATGTTTCCACAATCTCTGAATTAATCTTCCTTTGTTCAGTACTTGGATACTGCTAATTTTGCTTTATATAGTGGACATACTGATTATTGATTATGTATCAATAATTGTCATCATCTTTTAGTAATAGAAGATATCTTGGAATTTGACCTCTGACCATAGTCTCCATCTAGATAGAAGAGAATCTACACATCTTTGGTCTGCTTCTTCAGGGGGAATGTGCTTGGCCCAGAACCTGAGTAGGGGCCATTGTCAATTGTAACTATTGTTTGCAACTCTGTCTTGCTAGGATTTAATTTCAGTGTGCAAGTGAATTTTGAGACACAAAGAAATGCAAAGTGTGTGTCTGAGAACTGTGAGTAGGCTCAGCAGATACTTGGTAGGCGGTGAGGATTATGTGATTACACTGTCCAGAAGATCCCTAGGGTTATAATGCTAGTTTTCAGTTTCCAGAACCAAACTCTATTTTAAAAACAATTTCTGTGGATGACCTCTGATGATGCTTGATGTATGTGATACTAAGGTATTTATCATATCCAGATTACGACTTTTTAGATGTTTATTTGAATATATTTATGTCATGGAGTATTCTGACCTATTACTGGAAAGTTGAAGAATATGAAAGTCTAAAATATCGGTTTATCGTAAATACTTTTAAAGTCATCCTTTCAGGTGGTTATGCCCCTTCCCCCAAGGAAACTCATGACATGCAGTAAAGCAACAATAAATATCAGCTGTAATAAAAGCTGTGGTAATTGCCAATCCCAAAGTGTTCAGGTTTTCTTAAGGTTAAAATAATTACTTTAGAGTGTCTGTGGAAATGTAGGAGCTTTGGAAATGCAATACAATTAATGTAATGTAGGCATTACTTAAATCACCTAACTCTCCAGTCAAAATGATTACGTTCTACACCACTTGAAATTTTTGAAGTACCTTTAAAAGCTACTCCAAGTAGAATATATTATTGTAATCCAACGTGGATGTCGTTGTTTTTTTTTTAAATAATTTTTTTATTTTTCCAAACTCTCCCCCAGACATATATCGTGATATTTATTTAACATACATTCTTTTTACATTCATATATAAGATACTTTTAATAAAATGAAATAAATACATACACATGATTTTGGTGTTGCTCGCCCATTTCCCCTTTCACTGTATCCACACTCCTTCTTCTCTACCTTCTTTCTCCCTTTCTTCTCTTCCCTACTTCCCTCTTCTTCCTCTCCTCTTCTCTTTCCTTCACCATTCTCCTCCCCTTTCTCCCCACTTCTCCTCTTCTCCTCCAACCTTCCTACTTCCTTCTCCCCTCCTTTACTCTTTTCTCTCTCCTCTCCTTTCTTCCCTCTCATAAACATGGATGTCATTGTTGATGAAC